GGTAAAAGGAATTAACTGCCCAACAAAGTGAACTAAGAAATTAAATGCGCCGAATATAAGTTCAATTTCACTCTAACAGCCAACTAAATATGGGCGGTTTAGAATCGCTATTAAAACCTTATAAAATGCTTGTTTTATTAATATCATAAAATGTATCGTCATTTATTTACATCTTCGCATAAGTATACCGTTTGCAGTTAACCTTTTCGTAGTATTTGAATGTATCTTTTGCCATGTGTATCTCGTAGCTGTTGCATCTACTTATCTCGAAAGCTCTTTAGGAAAAAGCTCAGCATTCAGCTAAAGTTTCGCCATGCCCTTCCGCCCGTCTTCCATCCCGATTTTTTTGCATGACCTCTGGTCAAAAGAATCTTCTGCTTCGGTAGGATGTAAAACTCACTTCTTTCAGCTTTGTTGTGCTTGTGCCTTTTCTTCGTTTTTTGGCATGCACTTGTGGCGCTTTTACACCCAAAAAACTTCTTTACTCCTTTTCACCTCACCACCCAACGAAAGCAACCCTCATCATGGCATACTTCGGGTGGCCGGATTCAGCTTCGGGTCGACCTTCGGTGCTCTGACTTTCAATTCGGGCATGCATCAAGTGTAATACTCGGTTCCCTGACAGTTTTTCCCGGGAACTCGACGCAGCGTGTTGTTCCATCGCACCTGGTCCAAAACAATTTTCATCTCAACAGCTACAAAAACAGTCCACTCTTAGCAGGAAATAAAATACCACCCTAGACAAAAAACTAAAAGGAAACTTAGTTATTTCTTTCGTACATGGTAATGAACCTTTTTTTACTTGTGTTTCTGTGATTTGAGTGTTCTTTGAAAAATTTAACATATCACAAAAGTAATTAAATTTACAAGTTTTAAAGAAAAAACACCCTCGGAGAACAGGTACCAAAAGAATCGGTTTAATTTAAGTGGTAAAATATTCATACAATATTTAAAAACTTGGGTTTTATGTTGAACATCAATTGTCCCATTTTTGTTTTATATCCAGATGTATACATTTTTATTTAAGAAGAAACGAATTTTGACTACGGCTACTCAATATGACGTGTGGTGTTTTTTTACAAGATTAACCACTAACTTGTTACATTATTTGGAAACATTTTGGCAAGGTTAAGCAGGAAGAAAATTCCAAAAAATTTCAGTGCTCTATTTTTATTGCAAAAATTTAGATATCTTATTAAATTATATTGAAGGCTTACATTTTTAATATTTGAGTAATACATGTTTGATTTCTTATACAATTTTATTTTCTAATAATATTCGGAAGTATATTTTGATTATTAAAGATAATATAACTGATTTTATATATGCTAGTTGACTTACTAAAATACAAGCCTTTCATAGATATTTACAATTAGCGAAACATATTCATCAACTTGATTTGGCAAACAAAAATTTATTTGTAATGTAAATTAATATTAAATAGTTTTAATGATAAATCGATGAATTTAATTATTTTACCATAAATAATACTAGGTTCTGCGTTTGACGAAAAGCAAGTTGCAAGCTTTTTCTTTCATACTTTTGCTGATATTTTAAAAAATAATTTTTTAATTTATTGCCTCAGTGGTGATTAATATTATTGGTGACTCACTTCATATCACTAATCTCAGCTTTTTGGTCAAATAGCATTATTTTTCCTAACTGAACCAAAGGATTTCCTTATATCTTTTCGACGTGTGCGTTATTTCATTAACTCAGTTACCGGAATCGATAATCAGATAAAATGTTTATTTTACGCACAGATAAACAGCTCTATTGGCATTGAACGTAATCATTGTCATGGCCAAGTGCCGATTACTGCCCTTATTACTCATCAATGCCAGGGTTCCATCTCATATTATCCCGATCGTTTTATCCCCTTTTCCTTGGAAACTGCCAGCTTTACAACTTATATTCCCTCATTTTAATGGATTTCGTATTCGACACGTATATAATTCCTATTAAAGCCAACCATCAAAAAAACGTAATTAACACTTATCTGTTTCGTATGAAATCGCTCACTCATTGGTATGACTGCCATGCAGATTACCTTTCACTAAATTGTTAGCTCCATTATAGCCCACTTCAAGAATATTCTCAAATATTCGGGATTGCCTGGAAACAGGGAAAATATAATATTTATTTACTTCCCAATTTCTATGACATACGAGTATGTAATTTAAACAAACATTTTAAATTTTAAAACCATATAAATTGTAAATATCACATACAATTATTTTTTTTTTTTTAATCGCTGTATGCTTAATATGTAAAACTAAGCTACAGAATGGGTATCAGCCATAGTTGCAGTTGCTTTCGGCTGTAAAGTTTTTTCATTGTACTATAAGTAATTGACGTGATTGCAACACCACTATTTCGTTTGTGGCGAATAAAGTTATTCATTGGCACCCCAATTCAGAATCCTATTGACGTTAAGCCCTAATAAGTCGCCCTGAACATAAAACACCAATTAAAACGACAACAATTGGAAATCCCAGACTTGCGGGGACATAGATCCCCAGTCCGCTGGGAGTGAGGATAGCAAAAAGTCAATTTTATTAGAAAAAAAGTTGTTCACCTATTGTTGTTATGTTTTTGTAGTTCGTTGTATTTTTGAGCTAAACCTACGGGTTATGGCATACATTTGAAGACCGGCGTAATGACAGCTTAGGAAACGGAAAAGTGGAGGGACAACTTTTGCGATAACAAAAGACAGTTTTTCCGGAACTGTGTCCCTAAGCAACTGAAAACATAGCTTAAAATTATTGGAATTATATCGAATGTTTTTGTAATTGTAAAAAATATTATAATAAATATTGTGGTTGATTAAAGATAAAAAACGCTTTTAATTTAAGTATGCGACCATTAACCTATTCTTAACGAATGCTCTTATTCCACCCATTATAATATTATTAAGTAAACAGCTAAAGTTTTTAGTGAAACTGTCACCAAGCATTTAACCAATTTTACCCACAAAAATGTCATATTTGCACCACTGTGGCGAGCTAAAAACAGCACTTTCACATCCACACACATGGCCCATGGCTGATAAGGAGCTCTTGTGTACCAGCATGTCATTTGGCTGCTTTGGGTTATTGGCCTTTCCTCGTTGACTCAGAATTCACTACTCAGACTTGTGTTGCCTGCACATACAGAAAAAGGCTTGTGATAATCTATTTAAATTTAGTTATTAAAAAATTAGTCATCGTTTAGACGGAAACATGGCTTAAACATGTGGAGCTTAGTTTTAAGCTAAGGTTGCGATAGTACGTCCTCCTTATAACAAGGATGACTTACAAGTAATCCAACTAATTTTTCTGTGTTGCCGAAATGTTATTTCTTTGAGTCGATTTTGCCATGTCTGCCCGTCCGTCTGGCTCTTCGTATGAACTACAGAATATAATGCCAGTAAAAATATGCGTGTACAACAAATATATGAAATATAAACTATCAAAAGATCTCGCTCTTCTCAAATGAACGGGTATCTTAGTCAAGGGACTTGATTATAACGTTTGTTGGCTTTGCACACAAACTATTTCTTATTTTACTTAAACATTTTTTTCTCTTGAGAGTAAGGGGTCGCATTTCGCATTGCCTTCGGCGAAGCGCTAACCATTTTCACCCCTTTTTTTGTTTATGATTGTGTGGGTTTATTTAAATTGCCTTTTTCATGTCATTCATTAGGCAGACACCACCTCGCGTCTACATAACTGATACCTATGCATGTCCCACGTTACCCCATTACGCAGTCACCCAAGAACCATTCTCTTATCTTTTCATGTCGCAAGCTGGCATGTATAATTACTTAAGCCCTCGTTTAGAAAACCTAAAAACAAAATGACGGAAAACATATAACACTCTCAGAAATACTTAAAGAAGCAAATGGTGATTTAGCGTGTCGATAGACCTAACACATTTTATATATATTTAAATCAGCATTAACTCATTATTTATATTGTGCTCTGATTATGGGTAAGTGCATTCAAAGTCTAGGGTAGAACATTTTCAGAGCCGACTTATGTATATATATTATATAATAGATTCCCAAGCCAAATAACGGGTATCTGATAGTCGAAAAGTTCGACTATATCGCTCTTGTTGTGTTGTGACTTTTTCATTTAGTCCGTAATACTAAATTACCCTGGGTTGTTATATCCCCGTCATATTATTAAGGATTTTCTGGTCCAATTCAAGGCTTTGTTAACGACAAAAAAACCTTTTTCCTGTTCTGACCAAAAATCGTCTTTTGCAGATCCGTTCATCATCCGTGATAATCATTTCGTTAATTTTTTGTCTAATGGTGTTCACCCTCATCCGAAAAATAACATTCTTAGTTTGTTTACTTTGTGACATTTAATTTAGCTCTGCTTGTCCTTGTTCTGATTGTTTATTTGTTTTTCATCAGACTCTCCCTGCCTTCATCCCTTTTGAAAGGCCCACCGCCCCAATTCATTAGTATTCTTCAGCAAACGTAAGCCCAAAAAACAGAAAAGAAAATTTATCAGGGGGGGCCCCGAGAAGTATCTTTGTGTGTCTTTGTTTATTGTGACCATTGTTTCTGTCGCCTGTTGCTTTACAAATTATTGCGGTCCTTTCTTTCATTACATCACATTCCGTTTTAAAGCTTAAGATGTGATATCCTTATTATGTATTAAGGAAGGCAATTCAATTAAAAGATATCACTTATAACAACGAATATTGATCACTTATTATATTTATTTACGTATAAGAAGAGAACGCTATAGCCGACTGCACATATACCGATTCGAAAATATTTTAAAAGATTCCCAAAAAAGTCTCCCCAAAACAGAATTGACAGAAGTTGACTTACGAATTGTTTAGGAACAATTAAACAGTATTTTCCCCCTAACTAAGAACAACATACAACTAGGAAGGTGACTTGTTACTGTTTTGTCTCTGATCCACAACCTCTTCTATTTGCAGGTGAGCACGGGAACATATCTCGAAAATTTCCATCCTCATCATATTTGCACATTCAGGTGGAAAGCGGATCGCAAAGGAAAAAAAGCTAAATGGGCTAATAATAAGCTAAGTACAATGGATTAACAGTTTGCTAGTTAGCGCTACGTTTCGAGCTACACTTACGTCTAAGCTTACGTAGACAGCTGCATATAAGAGACGGCAGACGAATGAACATTAAGTCTTAAGCGAGGGTCGTTGATTTACCAGTAGCCTCAATAATCAGGGAAACCACACAGGTATTCCAGAGATTGCAATATGCGTGGCCGCCACTTACGCCGCCGATTCAGCCTGCAGCCCTCGTTCATGAAGGACGACAATGCCGAGGATAAGCCAAAGCGTGATAAGTAAGTCATTACAGCAGATATACGTTATAAAATCATAATCGTAACATTTATGGTATCGGTGACTTCACTAAATTTCCATCGCACATAGGAACATATTCACTTTTGCCATTTTTAAATGTATATTAAAGCGATGTGTAAATTATACCACCATTGACAAATTAATGAGACTGGGAGCAGATGATGTCATCCCAAAATGTTAGCAATTCGTACTTATGGCATTTGGTGATCGAAATACCCAGTGTATACCCATTTACCCATACTTTAGTTGAAGCCTACTAAACTAATAAGTAGAGGGGAAGGGAAAGAAAAACGCAGTCACTTATGTTCGTTGTTTGCATTCTTTTCATTTCTTTCGCCTGTCAGGACAAGAATTTCAAGTTCTTCATGCTTTTGATTACATTTTTCATTTTATTTTCTTGCATTTTCCCTACTAAAAACAAATATTTATGAAATACCGGGAAGGTACCAAGCAGAGTAATATACAATCGCACTTGGTATTGACAATCCAATCCAATCCGTAGTTGGTTATATAATATATAGTGTAATATATAGTGTATATATATATATATATAATTTTTGCTCTTGCGATGCTTTCCTGTGTCCGTTTGGTTGTTCTTGATTTCTTATTTCTCGGGACGAAGGAGAAGCTGTCATCAATGGATTCTCTGTCCTTGTAGTCTTTGTCCAACCAAATTTGGCACTTGGTTGTACCGCTGACTTACAGTGTTCTTTGCACAGAGTATTCCCTGTTCTTGTTCTCTGTCAAACAGCAATGAACTTGAAATCTGCTGCCTATGGCAACTGTCTTCATTCCTGCTTTGCAAAGCTCTGACTGAATTCAAAATATCCTTTCCAAGGGTATAAAAAAAGAGCAAAGCCGTGCATAATGCTGTGCACTAATTAAATTGCACAGCAATTTACTTACTCAAGTCACGTTTTATGTTTCATGTTCTTCTTTCTTCACCTACCTCAATGTCAACCGAAAATCACGCATTCGCAGGGTTGGTAGAAACAACGCGGTAGATGATGCCATTGGACCGGCCAACGCACGCCACAAAATCGTCGTCATGGGCTCTGCAAAAGTGGGCAAAACGTCAATAATCACCCAGTTTTTGTACAACACATTTAGCACCAAATACAAGCGGACCATTGAGGAAATGCACCAAGGCAACTTTTCCATCGCCGGCGTGAGCCTTACCCTTGATATTCTGGACACTGCCGGTTCATACGAGGTGAGCAAAAAATACGCCACGTATTTTACGCTTAAATTAACTATTTAAACTCTTGATTTAACTGGCTTATTTAATTTGGACTTATTAAATTTATTGTTTTTTATTTTATTTTAGCGATTAATAAATCATTTATAATCATTTAAAGTAGTCTTGATTAAAGTGACTTTATACTTCATTGGTTTGAAGGGTGTACATATAAATTTCATGTGGGCAGCCAGAAGGGTCAGAAGCAGGTATTCATGCTGACTTATCCTGTGGTAGAATACTCAGTAGTTTCATTTAAGTCCCCGTAGTCCCCAAGCAGCAGCGTTTTTAATTAGTCTAATAGGGCTGCGACCGGACCGCAGGAGCTTTGATTTAGTTTCGTTTTAATAATATCACAGAGCGATAGTTGATCATTTGATCTGGATTCTCATGTGCGAATCCGATTCATCATTACAAATCGGCTGCTTTCACAGAAACTCCCTTCCATCTTCATCATTATTATCCACGTTCAACAGGCTGCACGGAAATTACAACCTTACGATTCAATTTCGATGCCACTTCCGCCGCGCGAGTTGAATTGCTCTTGTTCGTGTAATCGAACATCAGAGGGTGGTCGTTTACGACTAGAGGCTGTAGTACACCTTTCTACATAGTATACATACCTAACTCATGAATGCTGGCCAAATGCTGGATATGTGTTGCAAATTGAGTCAATCGGGCAGACTGCAAACCGAACAAAGCTAACTGAACAGTGACTGTCTATGCGAAACATTATAGTCGAGCACCGCGTCTGTTAGATACACGTTACTCAGCGAAATGAAGGTGAAAAAGAATGATGCAAATATGCAAGTAAAAAAACAAGATTGCTTTCGCAATAGAAAACTTTTTTCCTGAGGTTTTAATTTGGGGTTCAGTCTGAAGGTCAGGTGCATGGATAGGACTTATCTCGTTTTCTTTTTTGGCCAGGCACAAAATGCCATTCATTCGAATTTTCCCGTGCAGATGTTTACCCTCTGCCAAAAATGCTACGGGTTAGGTTTCAGACGCCAGTCAGACCAACAAAAATGGAGATTAAGACGATCCCAATGAACTGCCACAGCAGCTTTCTTGCATTTTCCCGCACCTTTTAGCACCATCTCACTCAATTTACTGCCCTTTATTCCTTCATTTGTGTCATATTTTATTATTTAAGTAAATGCCAAGTTTAGCCCATGTAAGGAAATATGATAAAGTTGGATTTACAAGATTTGCAATCATTCGGTGTTATTATTTTATAAAAAACGTGAATATTAAAATATCTTATGTTAAATCGTACACATATGCAATTCTAACACAATTCTTTGCTCAGTGCTGAGTCCTGGGGCTTTGAAAGGATTGAAACACAATTCATTAATTATACACATGGGAACTCAGTTTTCGGTTGGGCATTCTGTTACAATTGTGAACGTGCATCAGGGGGCAGATGCCAGAGATCAAGGACTACGGGGCCACCAACGACCTCTAATTAGACCGGAGACACACAGGGGAATGAAAGGAAATGATTGTAAAATTGAAATGAAATATACTACAAATCTAAGTAAAATCAACGTTTATATTGTCCTTTTCTTCAGTTTCCGGCGATGCGCGCTCTTTCTATATCCTCGGCGGATGCTTTTATCCTGGTCTACGATGTCACCGATGCCACCACTTTCGAGGAGGTGCGCACAATTCGCGATCAGATCCACGAGACTAAGGCCACTACCGCGGTTCCAATTGTGGTTGTTGGAAACAAGATCGACCTCTTAGCAGATGGAGAAACCGAGCGAGAGGTGCGTTTTACCTTTTGGCATTATTTCCTTACTTTTCTTTACACCGAGGACGGTTTTTAGTCCCATACCGAAAGTTCAAACAAAGGTCATTCTCTTGCATTTTCTACTGATAGTTATTTAATTGCACCGATTTGTCACGCCCCTTCATCTCATAAATGTTGTATTTTTTTCCAAAAAAACTCGAGGATAATGTAAAGTCTTTCAAAATAAAATCAGTTCAACCTTTTGCTTAATGCGGCAAAAATATAGAAATTATCGGCAGTGTATTTAAAATCAGCACACACTTTTCCCAGCTGTTTCGGATGTCACAGCCACCGAAAAAATGTAACATTTAAAATGTCAAAGTGGATGACACGGCTTGCGTAGAAACTAAAAACGCCCTGGCTTGGCTTGTAGGAGGATACACAACAGGGACGGTCTCGTGGAATAAAGTCCAAATTATGCACGAATGTCACACAAAATGAAATGCCATCAAGTGAGGCTCCACTGCTGAAAATTATACGTTAGATACAAAGAGCTTCTTATACCGTGGGGTAGAAGGGTATGTTTTTATTTTCGCTAAAAATCATTTATCTGCCATCTACCACTACCGGCGGAAATAGCTTCCTAAATTTGTTGTAACACTTTAAAATAGTAGTAAACTGTCCAGACAGCTTGAACGAATTGAAACTAGTTTTTAGCAGTTAAGGAAAAATCACAAATCACTAAAATTTCGGACACACAAATTGCTTTTTCCCTTTTCATAGGTTGAGTACGCCACTACTGAATCGGTAGTTACTGTGGACTGGGAGAATGGGTTTGTAGAGGCCTCGGCTTCCAGTAATGAAAACATCACCCAGGTGAGTGCAATCATTAGTCAACCCAACCTAGTAACTATATAGTGACTTCAATACTAGGTGTTCAAGGAACTGCTGGCCCAGGCAAAAATAACTTACAATCTGAGTCCGGCCCTTCGTCGTCGTCGTCAGTCGTTGCCCCAGCAGATTGGTAACAATGGACCGGGTACTCCGTCACACCACCACCAGCACCACACTCAGCACCACACGCAGCACAACACCCAACACCACAATTCCGGAGGCGGCACCTCCGCGTCTACCTCTTCGGCAGCAGCAGCTGCGTCATCTTCCGGGGGATCTGGATCCCATGCTCCTACACCAGCCCAGCTGCAGCACCTCCAAAGAATCCAGGAGCGGAGTTTGGGCGCCAAACGCAACTCGTGCATCATTTCCTAAAGAGGCGAAATCCTTCTACTAGAAAGTGCCAACACAGCAGCTGAAGAGTAGTCGCCAAACTAAAAGAGGTCTCATATATAACGGTTTTCAACACTTTTTCAATAATGAAGAACAACATGGGGCTTTTTTTCTAAAACTAAACACAGAACTAAGGTGAACAGAAGACGTAGGTTCTATTCACATGGGAGTCTTTTAAGGGTCTTTTTAACATTCTGGGTGAGCTAAAAGTTTTGAGTTTTCCTTAAAACACTTCTTGTCGTCGAATTAAACTGATTTGTTTTGTTCGCGAGGGATATTAAAACGTTTTAAATTTTCAATAATAGATTGGAGATCCTCAAAGTCCCAAAATTGCCTGATATCTGAAAGTATATTTTAATGTATTTATCATTTCATGGATACAAAAGTATTTCGACATCCTTTTAAGTATTTTGAAAGTGTACAAAAATCAGGGTAATATAACTAAGGGGTAAATTTTGAAAGTTGTCTCCCTAGGATTTATGATTTTATTAATCTAACAAACAAATTAAATCTGCAATTTTGTAGAGTAATCTCTACTCCAATGTACCTCTATCTTACTGTTATTGCTCCAATAACTTAAGTACCTATATCGCAAGCCTCTGGTTTCTTAAACTCAGCTTTTAGAATACCTGTGTGTGTGACCAAAAATTAAATCGTTGAAAAGATATACAACTCACTCGGATAAAAATATACAATAACCCAAGAATCAATTTTTATTTAAGTCTCAGTACTTAGCTTGTATGTGTAGTTGTCTCATCTGATGTTACAGGAATATATAAAATAATTTATTCATTATCTGTGAATAGATTACACTGTCCACTATGAAGATGTTTTGCATAGATGTGCATTCCACAAATTTTCAGTGTCGCCATCTTTCATGTTTTGTTAAATTAACAGTCGAAAGGTGAAAAAACATCTGTTAAACACGCCCACGAAGTGTTTACATTTTGCTTAACTCTGGGGTAAAATTAAAAATTCTTAAAAGAGAAGACTTAACTCCATTAAATTTGAATGGAATAATTATTATACGTTGCTTATTTATAGCCTGTATATAACTATTTGTTACTTAGACAAGTGCTGTAACTATATCGCTTTTGGAAAGAGTGATTTATTTTAAATAGAGTTTTATAAAATGTAAACATTTGTTGGGTGTTTTTATATCTGTCATTCGTAGAGAAAAAGGCTATATTAGGTTCGTTGAAAAGCATTTAGGAGGTACAAGTAAGCGTTTCCGACCCTATCCGACTCGATCTGATCATGTTCGTCTGTCCGTGTGAACGCTGTGATCTCGGGAACTATAAATGCTAAAAAGTTAAAATTAGAAATGCAGATTTTAGACGTAGACGCAGCGCATTCTTTAAGAAGATTCCCATACCCACTCTAACGCCCACAAACCTCCCCAAACCTGTCTCCCACATTTTTGTATTTTCTTTTTTTTTATTATTTATATGCCAACTTCTATCGATATGCCAAACGAATTTTTTAATTTCTACCTTGTACTCCCACTATCGGAGTAACTAAGTAAACTCGACTATTACATCATATCTTGTTTATGTTGTGTAGTGCTTATTCCTCTATCCAGAATATGTCTCAAAAAAATTGTTAAATTCCCCATAGTGCAGTGTAACAAGAAAAAATTACATTAATGGAACACAACAAATTTAGATGATTGTGATGAACAAATTCCATATATGGTCACGTAAATGAAGAGGATGCAATGATGCCAAAACAAGATTACAACTACTTCCGGAACTAGATTCGGAATTTGTGCATCTTAACTAACCAAATTTGTTGGATCCCGCCGATGTAATGTAATGATGGTCTAATTTTGTAACACAGTGGTATAATACGAACAAAACTATAACAAATTATAATAAGATTGTTAAAAAGAACTACGATAGTAATAATTTTATACTAAATGAGTGTCGAATAAACACAAATTCATAGTGCAATTAAATACTAAAAAGCATAATTCACAAGGTTATAAAATTTCTAAACATGATGTAATGGCCTATATAATGGTCAATATAAGGTACATTTTATACAATTGCGCATTAAGTTAATACTACATATTATTAAATTAATACAATTTTAGGTTTTATTTTCGTCCTATCTTAATACTTTCTGAGTAATACGGAATACATTTTGGTAGAAAATAGGCACATAAGACCGCATTTTCCTTAGGCGTCAATTGACCCGTTTACCAATGTGTCAGAAGTCAGTGTTGACAGACGAATGTCGAAGCTAAAACAGAAACCAAAAGCAAATGCGTAGTTAAAAAGTAGCTTTAATTGTCAAGAGAAACCTATGACCTATCTGTAGAAACGTAATGAGTGTATATTTGGCTTTTATTTCCCACTTTTCCTACTCTACGGCTAGCTATTAATATTGGTCAAAGCCAGCTAAAAAGATTGAAACAAATGGTTAAGATTGAAAACGAAATGGAAACACCAAAGAATATGACAAGGACAAAAGCAATTGCAAATAATGAATACGTGTATAGATCAATAAAAATATATATATTATGTTATGGTATAATATATAATAGTCGTTTAATAGGGTTACTTTTGAGATTTAGAACGAAAAACAGTCCTTAGTGAAGAGCAACTAATACATTCAACGTAATTTGGTTTTCCAACTATAAAATATAAACATGCATACATACATATACCCGAATTCTAACCACAGAAAAACAAAAATCTAAACAGAGTGTTATATTTATACAATACATATTTTTAAATGCTTATATACCAAATCGTTATGCAAGTACGAGAAGTACTGAAATTTTGAGAAAGTACCAAAGCAAGTCTTATACGAATATAGAGGTGTTACTAAGAAATGAAAACTTCGAAAATTTGTTTCATTATTTATATAGAGCGAATTAAAAAATATCAACTTAACATACATAAATCTGAGTATATGTAAATCTATGTATCGCAGTGGTTGTTTAATCTATAATACAATACCGCTCTTTAGCTGCCCAAAGTCCCTACAATTTCTGCGAATGAAATGTTTAATTCCAATTGTATTTCTTGTACTGTCCGTATGTTTAGCTCCAATAGTTTCATTGTTAAAGTAAAATTCGATTTCGAGGCTTCCAAAAAATATCATTTAATTGGTAAAATAAATAGTATTTAAGTGAGTAGAGCTGTCAGAATGATACCAAACAATACGGGTATGACTGTGAGCATTAATATTGATTTAACTTAGCAACGCAATATTAATTTACAAAAAAATTATTTTTACTTCATTCTTAAGTAATAAATTAAATTAAATCCTATTCTAAATTCATATTCTCAACTGTCCCATTTATACATAATCCATAAGCGCATATACCGCGCTCCCTAAATATGTTTTAAATTCGAATTTTTTTGGTTCCTGGTCCACAACCTCTCCATTTAAATATCTCACAAATAAATATAAATTATTATCAATATTTACATACGGAAATATTTACATACGGATAAATGCATATAGTATATACATACATATATATACATGGTGTATAATTATAAATGTAACTGATAATTGCAAAAAAAAACAAGAACCGGAAATAAATGCAAGGGCGAAGAGTTTTTGTGCTTATAAGTTCCCATAGTGTTACTCACCCAACGAAAGTTTGATACATCGTGAGCTTAAAGCTTCTTTCGCAACTGCTACAATACCGAATTCTCGACCTTGGAATGTTTACTGTACTTGGCCTATACCCTGTACATTTTAAGGACGAAGGATCTATCGGTGGATGGGGGGGAGGCATGTTGTGGCAATTCGGCAAATAATCGATAGAGCCTACAATGGAATTTTAATTCAAAGGCAAACTAAAAAAAGTGTAAAATATGCAAAAAAAATAAATAAAAGGGACCGGGAATAATGGAATTGAATTATATTTTGTACATGATTTTTAAATGTATAGTTTTGATTGAAATCTAAGAAAACTTGATTTTTTCCCAGTGAATAATGCGATGAGATGTTAAAGTAAGGTAAGCTCTTTTATTTAAGATATGTATATTAAAAAACGTTATACAGAACTGCAAAAACACAAATGAATCTTAATAATTATTTATTGAAGTACATAAAGTTTCAAAAGAATTCTAAAATAAGTATTATTCATGCACCCAAAATATACAGCTAATTACATACATATATTAAATAAGTTAAATTCGTAATTCAATTTCATTTAACACGAAATTTGTAATTCAAGTGATTCACAAGTCACATTTTATGACAAAACTTTAAGAAATGTGGCCTTATCATCCAAAACTTGCAACGCTGGCATTCTATATGTACAATTTGTTATATAAAATTCGTATACAACTTTGCATACATTTGTTTAAGCTTGTATATTCTGTCTGTGCGCCTCAAGCGTTTATAATTCTAAAATTTATTTCAACTCGCGATTTTGACCATAAACGCATGGAGCCCAATCCCTCCATTCTAGCTGTAAAACGCGAAGAAGACAATGTTTTTTTATATCAAAACAGACGCAGGCGCACTCGGGTCCACGTTGCGTAGTCGACATATGAGCAGCCAACAGTAGGCATTATAGCACGAGTTTGTCCGTGTGAGCCGTAGTACTACCGTACTACCAGTACTATAAGTGTAGTTTTTCTCCATTTAACTTGAGCTTTTCCTCCTTGCGGTGGGTGTGTAGGTGGTGGATCAACGGCTGGTGGGTCAGTGGGTTTTGTGGATGACAGGTTGGAGGTTTAATTGACGGCAAACGTCGCCGACAGTTGACTGTCAGTGGAACACGGGAGTCTCAGCAGTCACAACAAATCAAAGGCACAAGCAATTCTGCCTACCGGCCGGCATTTCGGATAATTCGGATAATCCTACTCGCTCACAGCGTATTGTAAAAACGACCAAACCTTGGCACTTCAGTTAGGAAGCTTAATCTGGTTGTCCACTGTCCCACAGTATATACAACGCGTGACCTTCGTTGAAAAGCAGTTAGGAAGCGTCTCGGTGGGGGCTGTTAGCATCCAAGGACCTTGAACATAATGGTGTGGAAATGAATTCCAAGAAAAATGTATTTTAGTTATAAGTGTACTGAATGATGTCTTCGTAAATATTTATTATATATTAGTGGTAAAGTAATTACTATTTATTTGGCTGCGAAATCCTTTTTACTAATTTCCTGTTGTCAATGTGTCATAATGATTGAGAACTATATTATTGCCAATCGTGAAGTAAACGGAAATAGTCAATGCCTCGACCGCGTTGACCCAATTCAGTTTTAAGTTGCCAAGTTGAATTAAATATGGAATTCAAGATCACTGCCAGTTGTGATTTTGCAGAACCGATAAGGCCAGTTCGTGTATAATTCCGGAAGAGTCGCCGATAAGGAATAAGTAGAGCCAAGTCTCTGATAAATCCCAAGCCTGAACAAGCTCACCGCCACCAGCCTCACTTGTCAGCGATAAGCAACTTGTGGTTTCTTTGTATATAATAGGAATTCTTTGGTTTTACATACGGGCAATCTGTGTTAAAAAAACA